GGTGGGGCTGGAGCGAACTTGGAATATTTATAAATCTTTGGGCTGGAGTTGGAATTAAGACGAAAAGTTTGTTTATATTCCTATGAATTGTTTCAGTGATGTGTTTGAAGTATTTTTGTTGATATTGATTACTAGCATTTTGCGAAATCATGTACAAAAATAATCTGAGATAGGCGTAAAAATCTCAGGGTCCACCTAAAACTCAACCCGATACCAACTCTCATGCCCTTCTAATATTTCCTTAACTTTTGCAGCACGGGATAGAGATGATGTATGTACTTGTTGCTTGTCCTTGTAAAGACAAGAATATAGAGCATGGACCAAAATGAAGAATATTTCATCGTCTTCTTCTTGCTCTTGCAAGATAATCTCAATAATCGTATCCCTCCTAGAATGCATCGCTACTACACAATAAAACAAAATTGTTACAATAATAATAACTAGGAAGTGTATAATGCAACAGAAAATACTAAAGCAATAATAATACCATATTTGTTATGACTACAAAGAACCAATAGCTACGAGCCTCGGAAGCTCATGAGTAAATATAAAGGTAATGATATTCTTACATCTAAGTACATAATTAAGGGCAGCAATTTTTTCATAGACTAAAATAAGACCGCTGCAATACTAGGCACAGAAAAATAACAACACAAGAGTTAATCAATCACAAAGAACATTCTGCATAGATTGCAATGTGTATAAACAGAATTAAGAACATTTTGCATAGCTATAACATAACAAACACATAATTAAGAGCGGGTAGTTTTTTCTCTCTAGAATTTAAGCTTCCTCAGTGACCATGTCAAAGGGATGACTGCGTCACACACCTTTGTTGCTCCGAGTCAAATATTCTCAATGACCAGCAAATCAAAAGGCACCCAACAATTGAATACATCGTCTTCGGATAAAGAAACACCTCTATTGTTAGAGCACCTAAATTTGACACACGCTCAAATATTTATCGGTTTATGATACAAAAATTGGCCAGTTTAACATACGGAAGATACAAATTGATTCCGTTCCTAGCTCAACACAAGGGCAAGATCATAACAGTAAGAGAACAAACACAATACCGTAACTGGCACTGGGATTTGGTCTTTCACTAGTGAGATACATAGATAACTAAATAAAGTACACCCACAAATCAACACCTACTAGATATCAATGATCACTCGCCAACCAGGCAAATCGAACACACTATTGGTATTTTAGTCATTCAACAAGTAATGTAGTTCAAATTCATGCAACGTCATAATTTCATATTTAGGCTATAGTTCTCATAGATGTCCTGGTTCAAATTCAGGAAAGATCTGGTATATAATCCCTAGTTAGCAGAGGATAAGAAACTATATGACAAAGAGTGATGTACTGCAAAACAAGCAAATATAAGATGAATTGTTTACACACAAGAATTTTTTTACAAGGCTTAGAAACAGATGTTAAAGTACACACAATTTCTCAAAGAGAGACACAGTAGATCAACCACATCAAATTATATTAAACTACAAGCATATAGCACATTGAAGTGCATCTTTCAGTTGCTATCACTAAGACTAGTCTGATCCAAAATAGTAGGTGCCAAAATTATTTCTATTCAAAAGGCAATGACAAAGCATGAAATACATTTTCCCTCTTAATAATATATCCAACACAAATGCATCAATCCTACCTCCTTGAATGAACCCACCCACAAACAAATTTGCCCTCTTCAGAATATACTAGAACATTGAGCTTATAGATTAGCATCTTAAGGAGGTAAAGGTGGTTTTGCTCACTTGTGAGGTCAGGATAGTTAGATGCACTGCAAAACCTTCGATGCTCTTCAATACAGCTGCTAACTTGTGATACAAACTTCAGACGGAGGAGGAGGTTCTTCGATATGTACAGGAACTCATTAGTGCATGTAGCGGGGAAGGCATCACCATGGAGAAGAAAAATGGTGAGTGGAAGTGGAGGAGGAGAGGATAACCTTGGTGAAAGAGGAGGGTGATCTCTTGGTTGTCGTCTTCACCAGAGGTGAGTGAAGGTTCGTAGCGGAGACGATATTTGGGAAGGGGGAGGATGACGACCCCTGTCGTCATCGCTCCCATCGGAGAGGCAAAGCATGGAGGTGTAGGGAGGGAGTGCATTGTTTCCAGTTGCTGGTCAGATGGCTGAATAGAGGAGGGCAGAGTGTTGTTCTTGGATCCTATCACCGTCACCTCTCGTTCACGAGACCGAGCGAGCATGGATTTCCTCCCCGACCTCTGCACGCATGGAAGGCTCTCCCGGGGAAAGGCCACGGAAAGGGCGGGGTTACCCTTGTCTCATGGGCCTCCAAATGCATCGGTGGATCATCCAGGGCTAACTTGATTCGTGGTTTCTTGGCCCGGGGTATAGGCTGGGATCCCTGGAGAATCCTGTGAAACCTAGGAGGTTGTAGTATGCACGTCGGTAGGCAGACTACTTGTGGAAGGAATCTTTTGCTTCACACGGTATTTGCTTGCCTGTGTTGCATCGTATTCCTCCATCACACACTATTTAAAGCACCGCCATGCCTGGCTGAGGAGGAATGTCCAAATCGAACTTTTCCACTAATGCAGGCTCGCGTGGAACAGGAGGTGGGGAAGATTCTCTCCTTTTCCATGCCAAGCTGCATCCTCCTCTCAGAGCACATGCGAGAAACCGTAACAAACAAACAATACACCATGCATGCGATCAAACCCCACCAACCATCACACAGGGGACCAAACTACATGCTTACGCCTTGTTTGCATCCTTTTTTTTCTTAATCAGGCCCTGGTCAACCTAACTCGTTTGCCTCATGCAGCATGGCTGAATTCCTGCAGTCTACCAGACATCCCTAAAACGACACCTTAGCCTTCCGTTTCAGCTGCAGGTCAACCAATACTTATCTTTGCACAGAGTCAATCAATACTCAAATACTCTCCAAAATCATTGAAGAGCTCCTCTTTGCCGGTACACTGTCAATGGACATGAGTACATCATGGGATACTATTTGATTGGCGATAGGCTACCTTTGTCAGCACCATCTCTAACCTAGTTCGCCAGAAGAAGTCAGTTTGTCCAAAGACAAGAAGCAACTAGAAAGGATGTCGAGAGGGCATTTGGAGTTCTGCGGACCTGTTTTGCAGTTGTTTGTGGACTTGCTAAACATTGAGATCCGAATAACTTGTGGGAGCCGATGACATGCCGTGTGATCATGCACAACATGATCATCGAGGATGAGGGTGAGGATGCTGCGCAACTCTGAAATTTAAGAACATGGGTGATCCTGTCGACAGGGCTGGGCCAGCTAAATCAGGGGCCTGTGCGAAACTAAGAAATGAGGCCCTATCTCATAAAAAAATCATTGCTTCATTAGAGATCGGATCTTATAGAAAATGAGCAATTATAATGTATATATATCTCACAGAAAAAATTATAATGTATATAATATAATGTCTTACATAACAATTGGACATATAAAAAATCATACCTATTCAACTCCCGGTTGCTATTTATTTGAAGAACATTATTCTTTTAGTATTCTTTGAAATGAAATCTTAAATGATATCATCGTAATCGGTCTTTTCCAACACTTCATTCTCAAGTGCTATTGTGGCCAAATCATTGAGCCTTTGTTGTGTCATAGTAGTACACATATAGAACTTCAATAGCTTCAGTTTAGAAAAACTTCTTTCTACCAAGGAAGTAATGGCCGATCTCTAAGGAAGTAACGATCCCTGCCAAAATTAATTAGAAAATTAGGAATTAGAAGTAGGAACCGAAGTTAATCGGAAACGAAGACTCACTAAGCACCTGGAGATTGGACTTGGTCACGGATCGATCCGGTGAGGCGACGAGGCGACGAGTCTGAAATTTGGGAGAGGAACCCAGGAAGGCAACAACGACAGCGGCCTGAATCCGATCGATCTATTGAGGCGAAGGCGACGAGACGATCCTGTTTCCATCAATAGATCGCAGATTGAGCAATTTATTTTTCATGAGAAAGATCGAGCAAGCGAGAAGCACCAGCGCTCGATTGCCTCGATTCAGCCCGAGCTCCAGCGCACAACGGCCCACTGTGACAGCGCCTAGGTTTATTTTCTCAGAAATACTAGGCCTATATAATTTTTTTGCCCCCTCCCCACCTCAAAAATTATGGGCCCTGTGCGGGCCGCAGATTCAGCACCACTATGGGCCTGGCCCTGCCTATCAACCTTCCAAATCAGAATCTGACGACATTTGAAGAGTTTATTCAAATGCATGAACAAATTCAGTATCGACCAACTCACCAGCAACTGTAGAAAGATCTGATTAAGTATCAATGGACGGTTAAAGGAAACAACAATATTGGAATGTAACGTTTTAAAATTTGAACTACTGCTTCATGAGGCTATTTGAACCTCCGCACTCTATGCATGCGGCTATTTGAATGTCTAAACTATATGTAAGCGGCTATTTGAACGTGCGGGCTTAAAAAAAATGAGAAAGGTCAAATATATGCAGATAGAGTTGGACGGTGACCTCCCGCATCCGTGTCCGCGGAATGATCCCCTATGCGCGGACGGATGCGGGAGAAAATCTGCCGGCCACCATTGGTGATGCCCTTAGCCTTCCCTTTCAGCTCCAGGTCAACCCATACTATTTTCGCACAAAGTCAACCATTACTCAAATGCTCTCCCAAATCATTGAAGCCAACAACACCAAACCCTTGATTGCAATGTAATGTAATGGAGAAGTATAAACATGAGATGGCCCCAGGCTGCGTGGACCACAAAATGTCAACGGATAACCGAGAGCATATCCCTTTGGGGGGCCACGGATAATCCTCCAACCCCCGCATAACAAAACGATTTCCTCCTGATCGGCGCCTCCCTCCTCCGTCGTCCATCCCCACCACTCCCCGTCCCTCCCCTTTTAAACCCCCCACAAAATCTCCCAATTTGAAGCCATCTCGTACGGACCCCATAGCTCCCACCTCCCAGCACGCCCACCAGCGAGCAGAGTACCCCATGGCAGGCGGCGGCGGGAAGGTGGCCTGCGCGGCGTGGATCCGGCGCCGGGAGGACAAGGCCACCCGCGTCTTCGCGGTGCACGGCCGGCCCTCCCCGCCGGCCCTGGAGGTCCTCGGCTTCGACTCCGGGAGCTGCTCGCTCTCCGAGGAGCCCCTGGTGCGTCGCCGTCGCCGCCCGGCGGCCCTTTTTTTGCCTCGATTTTGGTTCGGCTTCAGATTGGACCGTGGTTGACCGTTGACCTGTGTGTGCCCTCTTTCCCTCTTTGGGTTTTGGGTTTTGCGCTGCAGGCGAGGATTGTGCTCGGGGAGGACCCAGGCGACGCGCCGCTCGCCGTCGCGGTGCACCCCACCGGCGACGAGCTCGTGTGTGCCACGGCCAAGGGGTGCAGGTGCGTGCACGACTCTGTTTCTCTCTGCCTGCTCTGTCTGTGCCCTGCTCCCTAGTTTGGATAGTGCTGAATCGAGCTGATCTGAAGGTCTGTGTTACAATTTGTGGCAAGGCTAATTAGATATTTGGATTATCGTGTGGTCATGGCAATCTAGAGAAGGAAACTGGTTTGGTGCTCTAGAGCCACGTGTGTTTGTGTGAATTGAAGCTAAAACTGGAAGGCCGCTGCACTTTATTTATTTTATCTTTATTAGAGCATCTCCAGCCGTTGCGCCCCCAAGACGCGCCGAAAACCGCCGCTTGAGGGCGAGCCGGCGCTATTTTAGGCTTGGGTGCTAGTGCGTTCCTAGCCGCCGCCCCCTAGGTCGCCCCCAGGCGCCGATATCGGCCCAGTATCGGCGCTTTCAGCCTATTTTCGGCGCTGGATTGGCCCAATTTCCGGCGCAAAACGTCCCATGCTCGACGTGTTTCAGCGCTCATTCAAATAAAATCATCAATAAAATCATCACAAATAATAAAAACACTCATATTTCATTGCACGTCCAGCTAGGCGTTGCCCTTGAGCCTCCATAGGTGCTCCACTAGATCCTGCTGCAGCTGATGATGCACCTGTGGGTCTCGGATCTCCTGGCGCATGTTGAGGAAGGCCGTCCATGTTGCAGGGAGCTGGTGATCCACTTGGGCAAGAGGACCCTGCCTGTAATATGGTTTAGTGTCAAACACTGGCTCTTCCTGCTCACTCTCAATGATCATGTTGTGCAAAATGACACAACAAGTCATGATCTCCCACATTTGATCTTTCGACCAAGTCTTAGCGGGGTACCGGACAACAACAAATCGAGATTGGAGCACGCCAAATCGAGGAATGGCGAGATAGCGGCGGCGGCGGCGGAGAGGTGGCTGGCGACGTCGGGATCAGCAAGGTGTCGGGGAAGGAGAGGAGAAAACGGGGCGAATCAGTGTGACTTTTCGCCTGACAGTGGGGACCTGGGCGATTTTCCCTTCCGCCGGCGCCCCCAAGCGCCCCCCAGTGCGCCAGGTTCGGCCTGGGCACGCCGGGTCGGAAAACGGGCCGATCCGGCGGATTTCGGCGTCTTGGGGGCGCGACTGGGCCGTTTTTTCGGCGCCGGCGCTAAAAAAAACGGCCTGGGGGGCGTCTTGGGGGCGCGGCTGGAGATGCTCTCACTCTTACTACATATTTGCCCGTGATTTACCTGCCATATTAATGTGATTGTGTAAACAAAATCATTTTATTTAGTAAACACTTATTTTAATGGCTAGTATATTATGAAAAATCTAGTCGTTGTGTTGCATTGGAGACTAAAGTGTCTTATACGGCTTCCTTATCTGGGTGGAGGGAGTATTAGAGTGTTAAATTGATTACTATCGGCAGTATTGATTCAAGTTGTCCTTGCACATACTCTGCAAACCAATATCAGTGGTACAATGTTCCCAAACACCTGAAGAGCTTAAATAGAACCACTATAAATTAATTGAGGGATTTAGAGTCTGTTGGATGTGTTAGTTCACTACATGTTTATTAAGTTCTGAAGATCTACGAAACCGTCCAAATGTGCAAATGCAAGGCAATGTAGTGTCCAACAAGAACTTTCTCCTCCTGTTACCAGGATTACAATAACAAACATATGCTTCGCGACTTGTTGAGAGAAGATACTTCTTGCACTTTGAATTTCTCAATAGCTGATGTTATTTATAGATTCATAGAAGTAATGAGAATCATAAATGCATGGGACAATACCTGTGTGAGTTGCAGGTAATGTACAGGTTTATTTCGCGGTTCCTGATATTTTTAGCACTGTTGTTTTTGTTATATTTTCTGATGAACTCAAAGTAAGCTTAATTGCTATGATAAAATTATCGTGAGAGGCTGAGAGCAATACACATATTCTCTCTTTGTTAAATCTGATTTACTATTACCTTCTGTTTTTCCTTTTCTTCTTACTTTCATGAAGTCCAGTACTTTGTAACGAAAGAATGTTAAAATTGCAGGCTATTTAAACTGATTTTTGAAGAGTTCACCGTTCGCTTTATTGAAAGTAAAGCTCCAGCTATCGAATCTGTTGGACTGCAGAAATGTCTTGCCTACAGCACAGATGGTTCTAAATTTGCTATCGGTGGTGAGGTATTAAATTTTACTATGATATTGCCTCCTTTCTGTTACTTGGTTTCATTTTTCTTCTACTCCCTCCGATCCAAATTAATTGACGCTCACCTTAGTCACCAAGTACAACTTTGGATCGGAGGGAGTATTTTTTTAACTATGACATTTGTTAGCTGTGCAAGCTTTCAACGTTAATAGTTACCGTGATTCCATTCCTTTATGCTATTTCTTGGAGCTTGTTCATTTTTTGTGGTTTGCTTTGCCAATGCATTTTCTTTGATAGCACTATTCTTGTAGCTAAATTTTCGGAGATGTGGCTACTGCGTTTAATTTTCTCAATAGTATCTTTTTTGTACTACTCTAGGATGGGCATCTAAGAATATTTCATTGGCCAAGCATGAAGGTGCTCTTAGATGAACCCAACGCTCATAAATCCTTCAGAGACATGGATATCAGGTTAGGCCAAGTCAAAGAGTATTTTTCCTTAACAGAATGAACTACAGACTTGATGTAAGCACATACAAGTACATTGGCATTATCTCAACTAAAAACACTGATAATGTAATGCTAATCCCAGACATGCAAGTCAAGTGTTATGGTCCTTGGCTATCTTTTCTACACTTTATTCAGTAAACAGCATGTACTGATATTAGGCTGTTGCCTTCTCTCTTGTAGCTTAGATTCAGAGTTTTTAGTTTCATCGTCTACTGATGGTACTGCAAGAATTTGGAAGATAAATGAGGGGGTACCATTGGTCAACTTGACTCGATCTTCGGTACATATTATACGTTTGTACATTTCCTGTTTCCTTGTTTCTATGTCAGAAACTTATTCTCTGATGCTTTTCCTTTTCTATGCAGGACGAGAAGATTGAGTGTTGCCGCTTTTCTAGGGATGGCATGAAACCATTCCTGTTTTGCACAGTTGCAAAAGGTATGCTTTCTATCCAAGTCAAGAAAATAAATGTATGCATCTGCCCAGTTTAACTGGATATGTTTTCATCATTGGACAGGTAGCAAAGCTGTGACTGTTGTTTGGAACATAAGTGATTGGTCTAGAATTGGGTATAAAAGACTACTGGCAAAACCTGTCTCCACACTTTCAGTTAGCTTGGATGGGAAGTTTCTGGCTTTGTAAGTGGATAAAATACTCCTTGTGTTTTTTCTTTCATACAGTGTTGCAGTTGTGAGATTTCCTTTACCAAACCTAGGAAAATCTCGTATTCTATGTTCTCCTATTACTGTCTGGTCGAGTACTTTACTCTGGTTGTTAGGGGCTATCAGGCTATCATATAGGTTAAGCTCAGTGTGTTGCATGCCCTGAAAAGTTCATGAACACTACCCCTTCCATTAAGCTGAATACATAAATAATGACAGGATCAGCTGACATTTTGTTTTATTTGCTAATAGGTTGTTTCCTTGTATCGGTTACCATCTTTGACTTCCATTGCTTCTGAAACCTGACATGCTTCTGTATTTGTTTCAGAGGAAGCCACGATGGTGATTTTTGTGTTGTGGATGTAAAGGAGATGGAGATTTCTCACTGGAGCAAGAAGGTCCATCTTGGTTCCCCTATATGCCGAATTGAATTTTGTCCTACTGAAAGGTAAGGACTTATATATCATAAAGAACTGGGAACAATAGCCATTGCAAGAACAAATTTTCAGAAGTTTCTCCTTGTTTCCGCTATTAATTACATCATGCCTACTGATATTCCAGAGTTGTAATCTCCACATCGCCACAGTGGGGAGCAGAGCTGACAAGACTGAATGTGCCTGCTGACTGGAAAGGTATATTTCTAAGCCAAATTGCTGTCTGGCACTCAAGTGATAGGCTTTACTGACCAACCTGTTACTCTTTCTGTTTTGCAGAATGGCAAATCTGGCTCATACTCTTGGCGCTCTTCCTTGCATCAGCCATCCTGTTCTACGTATTCTACCAGAACTCCGGTTCCTTCTGGAGCGGAACGCCCCGACGGGACGTCATCGACCTACCAAGCCATGCAGAGTTCTGAACGAGCCTCCTCGGTCTCCTGAAAACCAAAACTCCTGGTGAAACTGTTCACCAGTATGATTCCCTTTCAAGCAATCCAGCACTGCAGTGTTATTTATTTCATTCATACCAAGAGCTCTTTCTTTCTTTATTAGTGTAGTCAATGTTGTATCAATCCAGTTGCGCGCCTATCTATCTGGTGACGTCAGTATTTATCGGGGGAACACTGTAAAATGACACTGTAAATGATAATAGTTCGAGAATGTCATCGAGTGTTAGTGGGACATTCAAGTTCGCCAACTGAAGTCGACTCCTCAACACAAGTTTTCTCGCCGTCGACTTGGGAGTCTTTTCATCCCTGCTGCGCCATAGTGGCTATCTGGTATATACCCAGTTTGTTGCAGTTTTATTTCTATTGTCTGTTGCACTTTGAACCCCGTTTAATTCTGATCCTTATGATCGCTTGGTCTGTAATGTACTATGCCTTTGGTGGCCTACCCGTAATGCTACTTTATCTTAATTACTTCTGGTTTGGTGCTCACCTAGTTCATCCATGAAAAACACCACTCTATTGTCTCCTGGGTTTTGTGCCCGGGCTTGGCCAGCCGGGCAAGTGTGCAGACATTTTGTCTGAACTATTGCAGCTCAAACCACATGCTGTTTTTCTTTACAAGCTGCAATCCCCCAATTAAAGCCAGATCTTTCCTTCGAGATGAATCGTCGGGTGGAATTCTTTCCTCCTTCGCTCAGAGCCATTGGACGATCATCAGCTCAGAGAACGAGACTTCACACTAAGGGCATCTCCAGCCGTTGGCCCCCAGGAGGGGCAAAAAATCGCCCCCTGGAGGCGCACCGGCGCTAAACCGCACACTGGGGACGTGATACCCTCAGTCGCGGCCCCCCACGGGTTTTTAAAAAAGTCAAATACGGCGCAAACACGACTCAAATTTAACGCAAATATCGACGAGTTCGTTCAAATTTAAACATACTTTACAAAAAAGGGAAAAACTACCGCGGGCTACCCTCGCCGCCCGCCTCGCCGCCCGCGCACGCGGTTCTACATGCCGAGGAGGTGGTAGAACCGCGTGTAGTCATCGCCGTCGTCGTCGTCGTCGCCCCCGCCGACGCCTCCGCCGTCCCTGCTGCATTCCTCCCCCGGTTGGCGCGGCGGGTTGGACAGTCCGGGGGCGCGACGCCATGCTCGTCCTCGCGCCCACGCTTGCGGGCGGCGATCTCCTCCAGGGCCCGGCGCTGCCGGACCATCTCGTCGCGGAGGTAGTCGTCCCGCGCCCACCGCAGGGCGTCCTCGTCGGAGAAGCCACGCCGGGCTATCTCCTCGTACTCCACGGGGAGGCCGGGCTCCAGCTTGGGCTCCGGCTTGGGCTCGACGAGGACGAAGCGGCCGGTGGGGGAGGCATTGTCGCCGATGCGGACGCTGGAGCGGCGGGTGCGCGCGCTGACAGGCGCGCCCTGGGGCTCCGGCTTGACGGGGCGGAGGTGGAGGCAGGGGGAGCCGCCAGACGAGGAGGAGGACCCCCCGGTCTCCATGCGCCTCGGGGTCCAGGAGCTTCCCCGGCGGCGTGTGAAGGACGAGGGAGCGGGGTACTCGAGGCGCGGTGTGTTGCCGCCCTCGATGTACTCGAGGACGGCCTCCAACGTGCGCCCGGGCACGCCCCACCACCGACGCCGGCCGACGGCGTTGAGCCTGCCGGAAGGCTCGACGCCGTTGGTGGCCTCGAGCTGCTCGGCGTGACGGCGGCGGAAGTAGGGCCCCCAGAGTGGGCTGTCGGGGACGTACCGTGGCCCCTCCCTCGCCGCACGCGGCAGGGATGAGCGGATGCGTGCGATCTCCGCACGCCGCGCCGCGCCGGTGGGTATCGGGGGCACCGGCACGCCGCCGACGCTGATCCTCCACGCCCCGGGTACCCGCATGTCCGGCGGGACTGAGTACTCGGCCTCGAAAAGGAGGTGGGCCTCGCTCTCGTGAAGATGGCGGCGGCCGAAGCCGTTCGCCGCCGCGCCGTCGCCTGGGAAGCGCTCGGCCATGGGTGCTGGAGACGACGAGAGAGAGGAGAGGGAGGAACGACGACGGCGAGAGAGAGAAGAGGGAGGAACGACGATGGCGAGAGAGTACGAGTCGCCGAGTGCGCTGGGGCGCGTCTTATATAGGCCGAGGCGCCGCCCGTGCGCGAGCCGCCGTGAGTAGGCGTGGCGGGCGAGGGAGGGCGAGGGACGCGCGTCATCCGGTCTTCACTGCGCCGCCCGTGAGGCATCGATGGCGCAGGCTGACCGGCGCGGCAGCGCAACAGCTTTGGCATTGATTCGCCGCGGGAAAAGAGGCGATGAGGACGACGAAGGCGCGAGAAGAGGGTAGAGTCGCTGACGCGGCGGGCCCGCGGCTGTTTCGCGTCAAAACAGTTCGCCCCGGCGCCCTCGGGCACCCCCCAGCGCGCCGGGTTCGGCCTGGATCCGCCGGCGCTGTTTTCGGCCCAAGCCGGCGAAAATCGGGCTCCTGAGGTGCGACTGGGCCGATTTTTCGGCGCCGGCGCAAAAAAAACGCCCGAGGAGGCCTATCTGGGGCGCGGCTGGAGATGCCCTAACCACCACGCTGCACTGTCTGCAGTGTACTGCACCGATCAGTATCACAAAACGTTTATGCCCCATACTGACCACACTCTCAAACCTTCCTTCCTTGCTGAGCTCACCTCAATCCGGCCCACCAAAACTTCCTTCGCTGATACTTGGTGATTTTAACCCTATGCGGTGGAGGAACAGAAAAATAATCGCTTCAGGCAGGCGGAAGCCGATCTCTTTAACGCTTGGCTCAACTCTCTCGCACTCGTCAAAATCCCGCTACTTGACAGAAAGTTTACTTGGTACAACAAGAGAGACGAAACCACACCTGAGAAGATTGGCAGTCTTCATTAACAATGTGTGGTCCCTAGCTTTTTCCAAACACTACATTAACCTCTCTCACCTGTTTCATTAGCGATCATGCCCCCCTTCAGGCCATTTCCTATTTGGCGCCTTAAGCACGGGTTTTAGGCCATTTGGCAAACCGGTGCATCCCCGCCCAGACTGCACTAGCTTCTATATGGGTCAGCCCAAGTAGTATTTTTCCTTTTTTGTATAAACCTTTGAAAAAAGAGTGCGCCCAATGAGATTAGAACACCAAATCTTTTTGCTTAGTGCAAGCCGAGGTAACCAACTGGGACATTGGGACATCACTTGTGCTGTCCCTAGTCTACTTATTTTTCCTTTTGTAAATATAACGCTGAAAAATTGCAGCGTGTTATTCTCTATATGTTCTTTCTTTTTCTTGTTTTTTGGACGTTTAAATTCGTTTTTTCGTTAATTGTGTGAAACTTTGTTTTTCAAAATTTGTTAAGTTTTTTCTATATCGATGATTTTTTTTTTAAAATTCAATGAACGTTTCCGAAAGCGATGAATTTTTTTCAAATTTGTGAATTTTTTTCAAAGTTGCTGAACATTTTTCAACGATGAACATTTCAAAATCAATGATTCTTTCCTCCAAATCAATATTTTTTTCAAAAATCAATGAAATTTTCCTAAAATTTGAACTTTTTTCAAAAACCGTGAAGTCTTTTAAAAAATCAATGATATTTTTAAAAAATCGAGGAAATTTTCTTAATTTTGTGAGCTTTTTAAAAAGTTGATGAAGTTTTTCCAAAATCGATGATAATTTTTCCCCAAATGGATGAATTTTTTTATAATTTTTTGTAATGCATAAAAAAATTGTAAGTTGCTTTTCTGCAGGCCAACAACAAAAAAACGAAAAGAAAACAAGCCTGCGGCCGAGCAAGCGAAGCGAGCGGGCATGCAGCTGGAGCGAGCGGGAGAGCAAAGTCCCGTTGCTGGGCCGCGACTGGCATGGGCGCACGTGAGCGCCAGTGGGTTCAAGGGCGCAGAAGGCGCCGTATAGGAGCTCCCCCCTTCAGATACACTCCGTCCTCACGCACTTTTCGGTCTTGAAAATGCATGGGTGGCCCATCCGCAGTGCGGCCCAATAATCAGTGATGCTTGGATTGAACAACCAACATTGCCGTTGATCCGGCAAAAATAGATAACTGTTGCTCTAAAGCGAACAAGGCTGCTCGAAACTTTGTTCCTCTCCTAGTCAGTGAAAACAACTGTAAATTGTTATCTCAATAATTGACACTATTGAATAGCGGCGATTTCTCTTCATGCCCGAATTACACCTGCAAACGTTGGTGATCCAAATTATTGATTGCACAATTACTGAAAAGGTCGCTTACTAGAAGCAAAGGGGCAAAGTGCGAGCAGTACTGATAGGTGACGAAAGCACAAGATTCTTTCACCTCCACCCATTATCGAAAAAAATAAGATCTCTGCCCTCGAATACTACAACACATAATTCACGGATCATGTACCAAAAACTGCAATCCTCACTTCCTACTACACACAACTTCTTGGACCCGTGCAAAGCACCAACCGGGAATTGTGATCTCCACGAGCTATACCCATTGTTTACTATTTCAGTTAGAGAAAATTTAGCACCAATTGAAATCACCGACATTCAGTGAATTTCAGTGATTTCAGTTTGCATTTCAGCCAAATGATGGAAATATTCACTTGAATTCAAAAAAAGAATTTTTTTAAAAAATATTTAAATTCCTGTGCACTACTAAAATTACTGAAATATTTTGGCCGAAATGTAATTATTTCAGTGTGAAATTTATTGAATTTCATTGAAATCTCACAGAAAGTGGAAACCATGGCTATACCCAAACGCGGTTCCATAACTACACTATCTCGATGCTCCCTTTTGCACCCAGGAAATCAACGACTCCATCTAACAAATGAACAAGGATGCAAGCCCTGGGCCTGATGGGTTTAGACCTGGATTTTACCGAAAGTTTTGGCCCATCACCAGACCGCTATTCGAACTACTTTTCACGCGCTTCTATGATCTTTAGATTGACAGTACGTCCATAAACCAATCTTTAATGGTGTACTCCAAAAAATATCTTATATATCTTT